CTGCGCCGCGGACGGGCCACATGCGTCGTGCGGTTGCACGCTGCTATGACCGGACAAATGGGACCGGCTACTCTGGACTATGTACTCTCGAGCCAGTACCTGAAAAGGAGGAATGCTGCATCGAGCAACGAGCAAAATCCCCAGCCTATGCCCAGAGCAGGCAACCCGCACCTCCAAATCCTGGAAGATCCAGTTCCTCTGCAGAAGCCACGCCCGCAGCCCAGCAAGGGGACTGAGTACCGTTCCCGGCTGCGCACCTAGCAGCTTGGCAGCTTGGCAGCTAGGCTAAGGCCCTTCAACATGTAGTCCCCCCTTAAGTAGACAGAATATGGCTTTGGGTATATTCTAATCAAATTTCCATATACCCCATATTCTATCTACTTAAGGGGGACTATAGTCACCAAGCACGGGAAAGGCCTGATGCAAGATCGGAATTGGCACGCCTCAGGTGGCAAGCAATCGTACTTACAGCTTCTCGCTTGCTTGGACCAACTTGGCATTCTGCGGACTTGCTGGGCCGGGCTGGCCACGGCGGTCCAAAAGCCTTACTGCTGCAGCATGGCCATCCACGGCTTTCGGTGCCTGTGAAGGGCAGAAGGGTCTGTGACATTCTGGGCAGGAGTGAAGGATCCCTCCTGCTGGTAGGCTTGAAGGAGCCGCGAAAACTCCTGGCAAGTGAAGAATAGCACGACAAGCAGAAAGCTCCTGACAGCAGCTGCGGAAGGAAAAAGCGCGACAGCAACGCCCCAACGCTCAACTGCCCGGTGCACTGCCTTGGTCGCAACCCTACAAGTATCAAGAAAGCTGCCTACTCTCCAGCAGGTGACGGGAAAGTTTAGTGAAATTGCAGGCTTTTGCGTTGCAAATCCAGCATATCTCGGTGGCACCATGCAACTGACCAGGCAAGCTGCGGGTCCAAGACGTCAAAAAGCTCATGGAGGTCAACAGCGCTGGCACAGCCAGGGCTATCTGCAAGCAAAGCCTTCAGCACATGCGGAGGAGCATGGCAAGTGAAGAGTAGTCTTGCAATACTCAGCTGGGAAGGCCACTACAGCGGGGCAGGTCCCGGATTTGGAACTCTGTGAATGAAAGCTATCAACAAGATGTCATCCTTCATAGTATCAATGCGACAAGCCACTTAGGTAAAACTTGCAGGAGTCAAAGCACGGATTCCTTCATGAGAGACATGCGGCGATAAACCCTAAACCCCAAAAGCCCCATGAAGACTGACGCAGAGTGACACACGACTCTCGCAAGCCTCGCAGGCTGCTACAAATTCGAAGCGGCCCAGGGAGCCCTCGCTGCCTGGTAGAATTGAGGACCCAGGAATAACCCAAACTCCACATGCAACTCTGCCTAGGCAGGTATAGTGCGAGATAGTACTGCTACCCCTGAGAACTCGTGACCATAAAATACCATAAGATATAGCGTTTACAACTTGAGCGTTTTTCGGCCGAGGCTAGAGGAGTCTCTGAAGAGGCTACAGGTTGGGATACGGGTCCTGACGCACAACGTGTCAGTTGCTTCATCCACGTTGATGAACGCTTCTGCTCGCCTGGGGTAGTCACCATGGCCACTGAATGCGCACATGCCTCTCAGGAGTACGAAACAACACTGCGACGAATGTCAGATGGTTTGACAAGTTGTGATGCAACTGTTTGTAGTGTGTGGCGACTTCTGGAAAACATGCTACATCACTTGCGAAACCGAAGACCGGCTTGAGCCGGAGGTTTGCTGCGTTAGGACTTCCAGAACCTTCGGATCGCATTTGGGGGTATATTATGCCCTCGCCTGCATCACCTCAGTCTTTTGAAGCTACTGAAGCCTCAGCAAGAACAATGCAAAAAGGCACGCATCGCACGAACAGGCTCGAGGGAACGGCCCAGCTCTGCAATGCGCAATGCTAAGGCACTATTGTGAAACGCGCTCACTTTCAGAGACCTAATCCGAATTCACACAAGATTACAAATAATCAGGCTGCCTCATACTATGTAACACCTATGTAACACCTTTCGGTTCATGCTTGTAATCTTGTCCGAGTTAGGCATGCAGGCAGCACCAGAATGTGCTGCCGACTATGGACATGGCCACTGGCCCAGAAGATGAGTTTATCGAATGCACTTCCTGACCATACGGTTATGCTAGGGTTTAGGGTTCAGGGTTTATTTTTCGGGGTTTAGGATTTAGGGTTTAGAATTGGGATTTAGGGTTTAGGGTTCAGGGTTCAGGGTCCAGGGGTTTGGGATTTAGGGGGTGACCCTTTTGCGCATGTGTTATGCTTCAAGCTTTGAGGAATGTCCCATTCACAACCCTAAACCCTAAACCCTATCTGCCGATTCAGCATGCTTACCATCGCAGGACTAGGCGAAGCCGGTTGCATTTGTCAACCTGGGAAAACAAAATCAGATGAGAGCATTTTTGCCAGAGTAATTGATAGCATAATTATTATAGTAATAATGATAATACGAGTAATAATGGTAATAATACCAATAATAATAATAATAGCAGTAACAAGCATAGTAGTAGTAATGATGATTGTAATAATCATAGCAAGAAAAGTTCCAGCAGCAGTTTCTAAGCAAACTGCTGGCCGCACGTCAGCTGTCTCACTAAGCGGGCGTGTCTCGAGGACGTGACTTGGCTTGAGATGATTACTATAGTGTTACTATGACTACAATAATCACTGTTGCTCTATTATTCCTACTTTCCTATTACTCTTACTATTCCTACGAATGCTATTGTTACTATTCTTGCTACTACTACTATTCTTGCTACTATTACTATAACTACTATTGGTATCATTACTAAACTGTACTTTTCCTGAGGAGCCTGCCCAAAAGCCGCGCCAGAGTCCATACTCTGGATCATGATACTTGGGTTCGACCTCATGTCAGTGGGTGTAGGGTTTGAGTTTAGGGTTTCGTTGGCTTTAGGGTTCAGGGGAATTCCTTAGAATTCTTACAACCCAAGCAGGCAGCACTGATTGTCACCACCTTAAACCCTATACCCTAGTCATCCCGCCTGAAAGCCGTCGATGGCCAGGTGAGCACAAAGCATAGCTCCCACCTCCTTTTGGGCCCGATGCACACCTAATGTAGGGACCTAAATGAGTACCAATATCAGTTGGAGGTTAACTTGAGGTACCCTACACTATGGTTATACAATGTTATACAGTTACAGAAGCACAAGATTGGTGATTACTGAGGCTTCTTCTTCGTATGAAAGCGAATCGCATCAAGATTAGATCATTTGCCCGAAGGCAGAGATTGCAGGAATGCGGAAGCAGTCCTTGGTGTGTTGCGGCTCGGACGCCACCACCTCGAACAGAGCCTTCCCGGTCACAGAACTTTACTATCACTACCATGAATTATTACCGTTGTTCATTAGTCTTATATTATATGGTTATGGCTACTATGTGCTGAAATATGACGCACATCTAGCTATATGAGCTATCCCGCTTAATAACCACTATAATACTCCCCTATATATACCCCTAAACAGTCCCCTTCAAGGAGTTAAGACCCTAAACCCAAAATAATCGCCTCTAGAACCTCCTTGTAAGGAGTTTAGGCCATAGCTCATAGAAGCTATAGCCTACATAATCCCTGTATGATCCCTATAACCCTATATAATGCCATATAACCCTATGGAATCCCTATATATCCCTATACCCAAAACCCTAAACCCTAGACGCATGTAACGCCTGCAAGGCCACATCATCGGTTGGAATCTCCGTGTAGCAGGCCAGGCAGCCCGCTTCGGCCGCTTGAACCACTGCAGGGTGGACATACCTCTCCAAGGTTTAGGGTTTAGGGTTGTTTTTTGAGGTTTAGGGTTTAGGGTTTGGGGTTTGGGGTTTGGCGTTCAAGGTTTCGGTGTTTTTGCTACGGCCGTGCGGGCGTGTCTGCGCGCTTTGGCGCCTGCCCGAAATCAGGTTTCTGCAATTGCTTGGCAATCTCCGCGTATTTAAACTGCTGGCCTAGTGGGTAGTGGTCTTGTCTGAACTCTTCCGGAAAATACCTCCTAGAGCAAACCTCTAACCAGTACGGGAGTTGCATTCCTCTCCTCCTACCTTGTGCTAGTATTCTATCCCTGTGAGCTGAACAAAACACCACTGAATGACATTGCCTCTGACCTTGGCATCTGAAACACCTCCTTCATGAACTGAAATTGTTGTTTCCAAAGTGAATCCGAGGCCTATTGGGGTAACCTGCCTTGTCCCATACGTCAGCGTTAGATACCCTTGAGTAATAGGAAGCCTTAATCCCTACTATACGCCTTAAGAAACGATAGTAGTAGGCGTCCAGTCTGTTGAGCTGCGGTGTGGTCAGGGTAAGGCTGTCCATTCCGTAGAGAAGAACTGGTAAAATGACGGATTGGAAGATTCTTAGCTTGGTTTTGACTCCCAATGAACTGTTCCATACTAGCCGAAGCTTCTTGTAAGCTTCTTCTGCTAAAGCCGTACGATGTTTATAAGCTATATCAAAAGGTCGGTTCCAGGCGATCAGGGACCCCAGATATTTAACCACCTCCTTGCAAGGGACTGCCGTGCCGTCTGAGAAACGTATGTTTGGAGGAGGTTGCCCGGGTTTAACCAAGAGCTCCATCTTGATGTGATTTAGTGACATGCCGTATTCGGCCGCTATTTCCTCAACACTGGGTTTAGGGTGTTGAGGGTTCAGGGTTCAGGATTTTAGGGTTTAGGGTCCAGAGTGGACATACCTCTCCAGGCGTCTGCATCAGTACTCGGAAAGTACTCTTAGTAGTAATAATGCAAAGTAGTAACAGCATTGAGAATTCAAACGGCAATAATAATAGCACTGATGGTAGCCAGAGAAAAAATTGCACTCATCGTAATAATAATAATAATAATCAATAGTAATAGACCACGAACCGCGGCAGTTTCCCAATGACCTCCTGAAGCCCGCAGCCCTGAGATCCCGAGGTGCAAGTATAGAAGTCATAGCTTGACCCTGCACTGGCGCTTCAAATACCCCAGCCTGGCTACCAGCGCTGCCAATGCCGATTGACGCAGCAAGCCCTCCACGGTGACAAATGAGAAGTATGGCAGAAACAAGTAGCTCAACAAGTCTTAATTGCAGTTGTTAAGAATACTACATCCAAGATGCTGTGTGTGAACTCGCAGCCGGATACTGATTGCAGTTCTGCATGGATGAGCCTCACTCCGCTTCAGCTGACGCTGCGCACATTCAGCGATCTGCTTCGCTCTTGCCTGAAATGCGCGCTCCAACAGGAATGAAACTCACAGCTAGGTTGCTTCTACCTGGCAGAGCAGACTCAGGGGGAAGCAGCAAGCGCAGTGCAACCGAAGGTACTGCATTGATGGGGCCCCAGACGTGCCTACCCCCGATGAAGCTCTCGATGCGGAGCTTCACTTCAGGAGGAAGGCTCAGTGCTACCAGGGCGTCCGGAACACCGAAACGGTGTCCAGAGAGGCGCCGCACGCACAACAGCCAGGTGCAGAGTTGGGCTTTCCGCATCTCGCGGACGATTGCCTGCCAGGGTGCAGGATGTGAAGGCTGCACTGAACTTCTTAGAAGAAACGGGGCCTCATCGGCAAAGTGTGAGGCTGCACAGAGCCACTTCTTAAAATCATTGAGAGACGCGTGGGGCCCACAGCTGCAGAAGCGCCGCTGGGCTTCCTGCACAGCTGCTTTGCTGGGACGTTACTACTATTATTCCTATTATTCCGATTATTCCTATTATAACTGTTATTACTATTAGAACTATTACTACTGAAATTAGTCAAATTTCTGCTATTGACATGATTATTGCCATTCTATTACCACAATTATTCCTGTTGTTACTTTTACTACGATTACTACTATTGTTTCTATGAGTAGCACTACTAGCAACCGGCTGACCCTGCCTGGAGGAGCCTCTCTTCGTGGAACCTCTCCAAATCCACCAACCATGACTGAAACGCATCCTTGAGCAAGACATCGTTGCAAGAGGAGTTGGCTACTTTGCTCCCTGCTGTTGCAGGAATTCGCGTAATGGAGGGTAACACTATAGTAATGATAGTCATAATAATAAGAATAATAGTAATGGTAATACGAAGAGAATAGTGACAGTAATAATATTGACCGGTCAAACTGCACAGCAAATCCAAGCCGCGCTTGGCCCGCGCATGCTCGTAGCCGCAGAGGCCGGACCCAGGTTGGCTGACAGCAGCTCGACCCGGCCACTGGGAACTGGCCCGATTGCAGCCATAATCGGCATCCTGCACTTCTCAACATAATGGAAAAGAAACTGGAAACTACTTTGGTATATTGGGGTTCTATTGGGATAATGGAAAAAATGGAAAAGAAAATGGAAACTATTATGTAGTATAAGGAACACCAAGCAGCAAGTACGCCAAGCCTAGCGTGAAAGAACCGTCCTCATGGGCGGCATCTCCACAGCCATCTGCTGAGTGTGGAGCAGCGGTGGGACGGTATTGCCTGCGAGGTCTCCATTTGAAAACCCCTGGGCTTCCAAGATCTGCTCCCAAGGAGATCGCTCCTGCATCAGGCTAGGCTTAGGGTTTAGGGTTTAGGGTAGGATTTCACTTGCGCAGTAGAGGGTAACAGGAGCAAATCACTGGCCGACAAGTCCCTCGACAGGTCCTGAAGGACAGTCTCCGATCCAGCCACATTGGCCTGCGACGCGTCCACCATTGTGGCAATCTTATCCTACTAGGAAAACAAAATGGTCATCGTAATATCATTCGCAATAGTACTAGCCATAAGAACGTGAACAACAGCAGTAGCAGTCATAGAAATAGGAATAATGGTAGTAATAGTCGAATCTTACCCGTGGGTTTTGTGGTTTTGAACCAAGAAAGACTGAATTCTTTATTAAAAAGTATACCCAAAAGGAGGATACAACCTTACTCTATTACAGTGACTGTAGTGATTATAGCATCCCAAAAGTAACATGACACTCAAATGTTGTGCTGCCATTGCCTGCGCTCTCGGCGGGGCTGGTGGGAGATCTTGTGGGGCAGCTGGCACTACGCTCATGCTCTCGGGGTAGCCATCCTGGTTACAGCGCTGCTTCTCAGATCTTAGAGTCTCAGAGGCTTAGCTCAACGATTTCTGAGCCAAGACGCGGGAGATGGATGCACAAGATACCTGATAGGTTGCTCCTCCAAAGCAGAGAACACAGGACATGCACGATGCAATCAGTCCACTCTCTACTCTATAATCAATCCCGCCCCCCTCCCCCACTAACAAGCAATTTCACCCTTGTATATTGCGGTACTTATGCGGCATACCCTATGTTTGGAGGTTGAGGGGGTTGTGGTTGGGGGAGGTAATGCCTACGGAACACTGTGTCTTAAACAGCCAACCACTATATAACCCCAGCTTCCATTTGGTTTCCACTCAATCTTGCATTCAAAACGGGCTATCATTTAAATCTGCAGCAATGTTGCGGGGGGGACTACAACTACGACAAACTGAAACCCTAGACCCTCGCCAACAACACGTCCTCCTCAGTCCAACCCGCAGCGACGGCAGCTCCCACTTCCATGTTGCGCTGAGGCTACGGTTGATTTATGTAGGACATCGCAAGGAAAGTCGAAACTGCTGATGGATTTACACGGTTCAGCAAGAATGGAAAATTAAATGATAGCTTTCAAGTTGGGATTCTGGAGGGACTGCTATGGGCCCTACTGCCCACCATTAAACAAGTATCAAAACACGTGTCGAAGCTGAATAGCAAGACTCGCTGATCTGCAAGAGACTACACGGTCAAGCCATACGTAAAGCACACCAAAAACTTGTCACAATCAAAGCCATCCAAGGCAATGAAGCCTTTTGCTTCAATGCGCGTCACTCATGTGGAGATCGCAGCAGCCTCGCCAAGTGTTTCCCTAGGCTGCTCAACCGGCTCTACCGGCAGTTTTGGCGGCTCAGCAGGCGGGCCTTGTGAGGGAGAAAACATTCCAGAAACAAAACCTGCCAATACTCATCCACAGCTGACATGGGTGCATTTGCAACGCGCCCTGAACAGAGTCGGGAGCCATTATAGCCACTGTTCATGTGGGCTGAGAACCTGAACGCCAACTTCTGTGAGAGCTGCAATCATCATCAACCACTTTTAATGACAAGCTGCTGCATCGCAAGCAGCAAGAGCATCAACCGCCAGGACCTGTGCTGTTGAAGGTCTACGGAAAAGGAAACTCCAAGCAAAAACACCAACGGTCGCCCAGCCTAGTGGCAAGAAGCCACAGGACTGCGAGAACCATCAATGCTCGTCCCTCAGCCAGCAAACGCTTCGTTTGCTGCTAACCCGTTGTTGAACACAAGAATCTCAACGTGGGGACCGCGCAGCTGGTGACAACATCCAGAAAACCTCAGGCATCGATTTAAGCATGCACGCCATCCGAAAGCACCACATACTGCACTGGAAGCAGACGGCTGGCAATTGCGTGAAGACCAACACAAGCAAAGCCGTGTCTCGACGTTACATGTGGTCAGGTTGCATCCGGCGGTGCTTCAGAAGCCATGGGACGTCACCGCGCGCTGAGGATTGAAGCTAAGCCACCGTGTCACACGTACCGAAGTCTGAAACTTGCTACAAATCAGTTCAGGTTGGATCAAGATCAGTCATTCACTGAGAATATGACATCCTCAACTTGCTTACACCACCTGAAGTGCTAGGCTAGTCTCCATGCCACGTCATGGTGTCTTATCTTAAGCCATTGATGGCTTTGCATGTCATGCATCGAGGTGAACATGGGAAGCCCTTATTCCAAGGGCATGAAACCCAACGCGAATCCAAGAACATATGCAGCTATCCGGATCTGAAGGATCAATCACATGCTCTCTGACACTGAATTTTTTGTCCATCCTGAGAAATCTGATAATGTATTTCCATTTTGCTGCCTTCGCTCCGCTTGCAATCTGCGACTTGCCTTGGGCTCTCCAAAACGCAGTCGCCCTTGGTCCACGTCCTCACATGTCCTCAGTGGTGCTGGCATGAAAGGTTTCGCATCCGCATGGACTCTGAGGCCCCCCCCCGTCTCTTTGGGTCAGGGCATTTTAATTTTGCATATGCTTCTATGTCAAACCCATGGAGCTGCATCATATTTATGCTCGATGTTTCGACAAAATGGAAATCGAGGCGGCAATGCCTCAAGGACACGTAAGGAAAACAGATTATGGCAGTCCCTGTCAAGGACTACACAAGGCTTCTTTCGAAGGATTCCAATTTCTGCGCAGGCTGCTTTAATTTGGAAAGGTTGTCGCTTTAAACTCTGGAAACCTCAAGCCACAACAACGGCCTCCTGGCAAACATTTTTCCCTATACGAAGCCTCGGAGCCAAATGCTTTGAACAAAAAAACCCCCATGTAAGGGATTTTTGGCGGACCATGATCCGACTGCCTTCCGACGTACAGAAAGCCAATGCAGGCATGATCATGTAAGGTTTCGGCTCTAAGGACTAAGGGGCGTAGGGGGTGTTGCATGAAACACTTGCAAAATCTTGGATTGCTCCGCCATTGGTCTAAACGAAGACCTGAAATTGCAATACTGGTTTAGGGTATGATTTCAAGCCCAAGTCCATGGAAAAGGTTCCAAGCCAGGCGTTTTTCTCAAGATGTCAACTCGGAATAGAAGCTTTGCAAACTGAGAAATGCCCAAGTCTTCCACGCCAAACCTCTCAACACCTGAAGATGCCTTCACCAAACAAAGGGGCGACGAGGCCCCTCTTCTGAAAAAACCCAGCTCTTCTGGGAAAGACTAATTAAAGAACCACCACTTGCCATGCAACGAATGACCACACGGCGTAAGATTTTCGGCATCCACACTGAGTCCTGGGATGTAACATTAAGTGGGACCCCCGGTTAAATATATCCCCTGCATGTATTACCCTAATCGTTTCGACGAACAGACCCTCTATGTTGATTTCGGGGGCCTACAGAGAACCTTAGACATCTCGTTGAGCGCCAGACTTATTGCTCCACCACCTGCCATGCAACGGGTGACTGCTGGCAGAATTGGCATCTTGAGAACTAAGGGAATGTCGGTAGCCGTTCTCAAGCAAATATTCAGGTTCCCTCGAGAGGATCACCATCTTGACAAGCAAAGGGCAAGAGCTGATATGGCTTCAAGGTACTGAGCAGAAACACTTGTTCTTTCATCGCTGTTGTTGAGGGAAACATATGAGCCACAGTCAATACTCCTTGTACAGCTACTGGACATGGGCCCTTATAAGGGAACTACAAAAGAGAGTCTTATGTCCACCCTTAATGGTCCCTTGGTATCCCCAGTATTGACAACGGCTCATATGGAAAAAAATCTAGATGGAGCGGATTTACAACCTCAAGCCAACACAATGGTCTGCGGATGAGCATCCCGACCCCAAACCTTTTGATGAAACATCAAAGCCAAACACTCCCTTGCGAGACTTAGGGTCCAGGGGTTTACGATTCAGGAATTAGGGGCCTGGGGGCTTTGGGTGAAGCTTTGCAACCTCTTGGATTAGTTCAGCTTTTCGGCTTGTTGAACCTGATAGGACAAGCCAAGCGGCCGGGTAAAGGCGGTGAGCAATGTCAGAAAGCCCCATGAGCTCCTGTTTGGCATGTTTGGAGCCAAGGGCTACTCCTCCCTTTAGGGTGCAAGGGCATTCCACGTGGGAACATCACAGGGGGCGCGTTGTTGCCGACCAATTTCAGACGGCCGGAGAGGTGAACATGAGCCCTAGCTGCCCTCTGTTTCGCAAGTTGTTTCTCAAAGGTGACAACGTTTTTCTTGTGCAAGCCACGCACTCAAGCATCTTGCCATACTTTATGCATAGTCAGAACCACAAGGCAAAGAAGAGTTAGCGTCATCATTATTATTATCACAGCGTATTCTGAGTCATCAGCAACCTCAAGGATACCTTCGAAGGTTCTGTTCTGGTCAAAATGAAACATCCTTGTTAGGACCTTTATTCCCCAACTTCCTGTGGCTGCGTTATAAACTGCTCATAATGCCAACCCGTCCTCGAACTCCCTTTCGGTGGCATCGCCCTGGGAGGAAACCTGCCAGAATTAGACACATGCTATGGAAGCATGCAGCCATTTTCCTGGCCTGCTCGAAAAGCAATGAAAGTCTTCGAGCCTTGCATCGCGAGGCGGCTGTAAAGTCCACGCACACCAGCAAATTCTACCAGCAGGTAGCATCTCAGAGCGCGGCTTCGCGGCGAAAGAGAATTGCGTGGAGCTGCTCAGGCACCTTCGTGGCTGCGTTGCAGCATGTGGCTCTGGCTTCAGAATACTGTGCTTTTCGCAGGGACAGCGAGACTCCCACCACCACAACTGGAATGATTGTCTGTGCACTGTTGAAGATCACCACTATTGCCAAATTTCAGTAAACGTCCCATTCGCACTTTCAAAGATTTGGTTGAGGAGAGTTGAAGCACATGAGAAAAAAGGGAGGCAAATACACGGACAAGCCAGGCGGCCGTGTTTGGGTACAGGCGATGAGCAACATCAGAAAGGGCCATGAGCTCCTGTTTGGAGCAAAGGCCTACTCCTCCCTTAGGAGTGCAAGGGCATTCCATGTGGGAACATCACAGGTGCCGCATTGTTGCTGACCGAATCCCAATTTCAGAGGGCCGGGGAGGTGAGCATGAGTGCTGGCCGCCTTCTGTTTCACAAATAATTCATGCACAGTCAGACGCACAATGTAAAGAAGAGTTAGGCACATCATTTTTATTACCATTATTACAACCAGCCCTGAGTCATCAGACCTCTTATTCGTTGATGCTGATTTGGGTTGAACCTGACGCGCGCCTGGCACAAGCCTCTTTGAGCAAGACCACTAACCTCAAGGATACCTCTATTCTTTTCAAAGCAAATCATCCTTGCCAGGGCCAAATTCCCCAACTTCCCGTGGCTGCGTCATCAACCGCCCAATGTTGCCAACCCGTCCTCAACGTCCTGCTCGGTGTGCCCCGAGGCCCCGCCGAACAGCGCAGCAAGCCTCCTGGCCTTGCATCGCGGGGCGGGTGTAAAGCCCCGACACGCTAGCAACTTCTACCAGCAGGTAGCATCTCAGAGCGCTGCTTCTCGGCGGAAGAGGATGGCATGAAAGTGCTCGGGCACCTGCTTGGCTGCGTTGTAAACGTCCCCTTTCGCACTTTCAAAGATTTGGTTGTATAGGAGAGTTGAAGCAGATGAAAAAAAGGGAAACAAATGCATTAGGTTTTGCTAACATACAAGAATGGAATGAAGCATTCCGCCATAGAAATGACACCAAAGGAAGCACGAAAGCTACAAACGAGTTGAAAGTCAAGTTGAATCTAGCCAGTAAGGCTATTAAAATAGGATGTACCCCGAGTTGGACAAGGGTGATGAGGTCAAAATATTGAGGAAAACAAGACCTAGCGACCCCGAGCAATTGGCCGCAAAACAAATACAGGATTGAAAGAATAGATGAGAAATTAGGACAAAGTATTGTTTTGTTTCAAACTCAGAGCGCGCTTATCTACGTTTTGAGTTATTAAAAGTTTAAAGAAGTAATTAAAGGTGTATTCAGGTATA